TCATTATAGTAAATTAACCATTTTAAAGCATGCAATTCAGTGTACTTAGCATATTTACAATGCTGCGGGAGCACGCTAGCCTCAAAACTTTTTCATCACCCCCCTAAAACACCCCATATCCATTAAACAATCTTATCCTAGCCCTGCACCGCCCCACAGTCTGGTAACTTCTGGGCTGCCCATCCTGGACACAAATCACACCGAAGAACCATGCAACCTGTGATGTTTGTGTCTGGACCCTCTCACTTAGCACAACTTTTCAAGGTTCATCCACACTGTAATATGTATCAGTACTTTGTTCCTATTATAGCAAAGTTATACTTTGGCCTCGGCCAGCGGTGTAGGGGTGAGAGGATTCACCAGAGACAGAGTGGGGAGCAGAACCGGCAGACTGACGGAGCGCATGCAGCTCCTTGCAGTGCTGCGCCCCGACCCGCTGCGCCCCAGGGAGGCTGTGCTCACGTTTTTTGAGGGCCCGCCAAGCTGCTCTTCACCATGACTGTGCCTTTTTACAAAGCATCACTGCGCCTTCCCATTTTCTTGATTTAAACCATCCTGGGATGTAGGGAGCGCTGTCATGTTACAGTTATGACATGCATTTCTTTATGACCAACAAAAATAGGGAAAATTAATTTTAAAATTAACAAAAGTAGAACTAAAAGTCAGTTCTTAAAAAGGTTGACAAAGCTGACATTTAACTATTTTCGTCCAACTAAGTATCTATTGACTTTGGTGTTGTTTTCCAAAAACCAACTTACAGTTCTATTTTCTATTCATTTATTTTTCACTCCCTATTATTTTCTTCCTGTAGCATGTTTTAGGTTTAGTTTCTCTTCTTTTTCTTAGTTTCTTAGAGTGAAAGATTAGGTTGTTCATTTGAAACCTTCTTTTCCAATACAAGCATTTACAGCTAGAAAGTTCCCTCTGAGTACTGATGACAGCTGGCAGGAACGGGCCTCACCAGTGGCCTGGGCCTCGCCCAAGCCTCCCGTGGCCGGACAGCACAACCTGCTACATTCTGGAGGCCCAGGTGGACCTGAGGAGGAACGCAGGGATCAGGTTCACGCGAACTCTGCAGCACCGAGGGTACCCACCTACCTTCTGCGCTTGTGTCTGGCTTGGGCCAGGTGCCCAGCTCCGACTGAACTACCAGGAGCTGGGGATCCCCCTCTCCACTGCCAGAGCCTGGCCAGCACCCACTGCCCTCCGTGAACCGGGTACTTTATCCTTCCGCCCTCCCAGCCCAGCTCTGGCCCTCTCCTCCCTCCAAAACAAGTGAGACAGCTGACTCGCGCCTCGAGGAAGGCCATTTATTTCCAAGATATAGACTATACTTTTCAGACAGGACTTTTCAGAAGCAGGAAATCTTAGTTGTTGCCTAGAAAGGTGTGTCAGGGACACAGTGAAGGGAGACATGCGGACTGGGGCCAGGAGGCTTATCCAACACTGTTACAACACTTTTTTTAAATGAGCAAAACATCTTTAAAAATCCTTATAAATTCTTTATAATATGTTACACATTTAGAGACAATATTTACAATAAAAGGGAGGGGGAGGGGGAGAATCTACTTTACAGCAAATCTTTGCATAAAACAAGAGACTGACAAGACGTGGCAGTGGGGTTCACAACCCCACCTGGGCTTCCCTGGAATGAGTGAGAGCGTGTGTGGGGAGGCCTGGTGCTCTGAGGTCTATTTACAACTGGGGAGAAGGGGGGGCTGGGTCCCGCCCATCCTAAAGGAGCAGCCCAGCCCAGCCCCCTGCAGTCAGTGTGCGTGCGTGTGTGCGTGGGGGGCCAGTGCGCGCACACAGGGGTGCCTGCTAGGCCCCATGCTGAGGAGGGGGTCTGTGTGCCTGAGCTGTGGAAAGGGCAGGCACAGCTGGAAGAACAAATACAGGGGCAAGGGAGGCCTAGCCGGGGGATCCCAGACGCCTCGGAAGTTGAGGGACTGGCAGCTCGCTCCCCATGGTCAAAGCCATTTGGGGTGCAGGTTTAGAGACTGGCAAAGGGGGGAAGGGGAGCCCCTTGTGAGTCTCAGTCCTTCCTCTGGGAAGCTGACTGACCCCCTTCTCTGGCTCTGCGAAGCAGCAGGCTGGCTGGCAGAGGGCACCGAAAGGCAGGGAAGGGGGCCCTGGGGGCGCGGTGGCAGAAGTTGCTTCAGGAAACCTTTGCACAGGGACAACACACACACAACCCCTGCCCCCTGTGGGCAGGACACCCTGTACCTCGGTCTCTCCCTCAGCTAGGAGCCAGGGGGGGGGCAGGGGAGAGGAGAAATACAAAGGCAGCATCCCCCAGTCTGTCCTTGGGCCTGAGACTTGGGGGCTCCCTCTCCACGTGCCACGACCAACCAGTGTCCCTAAGTGCAGACACAGACAGGCCCCGAAGGACACTGGTCATTTATCTGGGGCACGGGCCCCCGCAGCCCCTCCCAGCCTGGGAGGCGCCTGCCTCCTCCTCAGCAGACTCTTCCTCCCACCGAGCCCGCTACCAGCGGGGCTCACACGCTGTGCACCAGGCGGACGGAGGCGCGCGAGCAGAGGGGACGTCTGTCTCCCGCGGCCTCGGC